CCCCTTGTGTGTGTATGCTGGGGATGTAGTGTGTCTGTATGCTGCGGATGTAGTTTGTCTGTTTGTGCTAGTAATGTAGCGTGTCTGTGTGTGTACTAGGAATGTAGTGTGTCTGTGTATGTGCTACAGATGTAGCGTGTCGGTGTGTAGTGTGTGCTGGGCATAGGTGTTTGTGTATGTGCTGGACATGTAGTGTATGTGTGTGAATGCTAGGAATGTAGTGTGTGTGTATGCTGGTGATGTAATGTGTGTGTGTGTGTGTGTGTGCGCTAGGGATGTAGTGTATATGCTGGTGATCTAGTGGGGATGTGGTATGTGCTGGAGATATAGTGTGTGTGCTGGAGATGTAGTATGTGTGCTGAGGATGTGGTGTGTGCTGGAGATGTGGTGTGTGCTAGGGATGTAGTGCGTCTGTGTGTGTGTGCTGGGGATGTAGTGTGTCTGTGTGTGCTGGGGATGTAGTGTGTCTGTGTTTGGAATGTAGTGTCTGTGTGTGCTAGGGATGTAGTATGTGAGTGCGCTAGGTATGTAGTGTTTTTTGTGTGTGTTTGTGATGTAGTGTGCATGCTGGGGATGATGTGGTGTGTGTGCTGGAGTTGAAGTGTGTGTGTTGGGGATGTACTGTGCGTGTATGCTAGGGATGTAGTGTGTGTATGCTAGGGATATAGTGTGTGTGTATGCTAGGGATATAGTGTGTGTGTATGTGTGTGTTTGGGATGTAGTGTGTGTGTGCTCGGGATGTAGTGTGTATGTGGTGGGAATGATGTGGTGTGTGTGTTGGGGATGTAGTGTGTGTGCTGGGAATGTAGTGTGTGTGTGTGTGCTCGGATTGGGGCATACTATGTACATTAAATCTAATAATTACTTACCCTTTCTGTACCGAGGTGGGGTAGATCATAGCTGTTGTGGAGCCTGAATTGACTCCTTGCAGCTCTGCTCCTTTTGTCTACAACGTTGCTGGCTCAGTCCAATTCCTGCACTCCTGCATGTCCTGCCATCTGTGCTGGCTATTATTATTTTATTATTATTTCATTATTTATATAGCACCATCAGATTCTGTAGCGCTATGTGGCCATTACAGCACACATAGTCAGTCACAAAGGGGAATTCTGCCGCTCCTAGAGGCCAGCCCACAGCAACAGCCCTGCCGCAAATTGCTGTAAGTAAAGTTCCCACTGAAGTTCCGGCATGCACAGATAGTAATCTCAGAGTGATGGAACTTCAGTGGAAAACCTGTCATAACCCTGAGGACACACATAGATACACTCACTCACACACAGATATAGACATACAGATACACAGACTGATACACACACAGATACTGACATACAAATATGCACACTGACAAACAGATACACACACCAACAAACACACAGACACACAGATACACAGACACACAGATATGCAAACATACATACATTTAGTAAATAGAAACATCAATAAAACGACTATGTGAACAAAATTAAATCACCCTGTGAAGTCAAAATGATAATACTCTCTCAGGGATGTCCCCTTATCCCCATAACCATGAAGTACAAATAAAACATATATGAACATGGAGCCACTCCTCAAGAAAAACATATTAAACTATGATACTGACTTACCGGTACTTAAGGGTACTGCACTATGTATATATATCACACAGAACCTTCTTCAAGGTTAGCGCCTTGAATAATAAGAGAGGTTTCCACACCCCAAATGGAATTTATCCAACTTTAGTGGAGAGAATGTGACTATTAAAACTATAGAAGTACCATTGGTGCAGGACACAAGCAAATTACATATTAGTAACTTAAAAACTCCAGAATACAAAAATATCAAATATTACCAATCTTAGCAAGTACCACCCAACGCATTTCAGCACAGAAGCAGATTTTTCAGGGGCTGTGATGATATTCCAATGGTGTTAAAGTTTAAAATCATGTAAAAACAGCAATGTTTTATAAATGTAACCCTACAAAGCAGCCACAGCTCCCATATATAACACAAGCAACATACAGCAACATGCACACGTTACTTTAAAAATATCAGTTACTAGGATATACCCTACTGCACATACCCTTCATAAACTCACAAGACCAGTGGAGCACTCCATATTTATCAAACTTTATAAAACAAAAAAAAACAAAAAAAAATACATCCAGAGTATAATAAATGCCAAACAATAATCACAATTATTTACTGACAAATATGTATTCAAACATTGTACAGCACCACGTACATAGGAAAGCTTTAATGTTGAACATAATTTTCACAAAAAAACAAAATTGGCTATTAAAAGGACACTACAGTCACCAAAACAACTTTAGCTTAATGAAGCCATTTTAGTGCATAGATCATGCCCCTGCAGTCTCAGTGATCAATTCTCTGCCATTTAGGAGATAAATCACTTTTGCTTCAATTTATGCAGCTCTAGCCACACCTCCCTTGGCTCACACAGCCTACATAAAGGAAAAAATTGTTTCATTTTCAACAAGGTGTTAACTTATTTTAAAAGCGTGTATCTCCTGCTCTGTAAATTGAGCTTTAATCGCACACAGGAGGTTCCTGCGGGGGTCTAGCAGAGCAGGATACAAGAAATTCTAAATTAAACAGAATTTACAAGGAAGTTTAAACTTTAGATGACTCTTTACAGGAAGTATTTAGGAAGACTGTGCCAGTTACATGCAAGGAGGTGTGATTAGGGTGGCATAAAAAAAGAAATGTAACTCCTAAATGGCAGAGAATTGAGCAGTGAGACTGCAGGGGCACGATAAATACAGCAAAACTGCTTCATTAAGCTAAAGTTGTTTTGGTGACAATAGGGTCCCTTCAAAATGCCAAATTAATATTTTGTTGTTTGCTCTTACTATTCTGGAGTGTGCATTATATCTTATGTCGTTTATTAAAAAATGCATGAGAATACATAAATTATAGTGTTTCGTCATTCCTAAATATGTATACGGACGGTACAGTGGCGGATTTAAAGGGAATTTATGGATGACTGAAGAGTCACCCCTGCTCTCTCTCCAAATGCCTACATGCAGGTTGTTAAACTTGTTAATCCTATTACACGCACATGGGATAGGACACATTTAATTGATTTGTCACGCAAGAATCATGGTATCAGTGTTGGGGTCATGTAGAAGGTACATGTCATAATGTGTGTAGGTATTCTGTGCATATTAGTACATTTCTGCATCTTTAATTTTGTGTGGTTATATATGTCTAACTTTCAGAATGTATCACAAAACCTGATGGCACTCACTAATCAAAATAGTCAAATATGAAACAAAAAAAAAACTAAAAAAACTCGGCAATTTTTCTGCTCCGCTATTTTGTGTACAATTTAGAATACTCAACAATACCCAGTTTAGCAAGTAACTCTGTGTAACAAACATGTGCAGAGTGCTTTTATATCAAATAACCTAAACCCATGTAATGACTTTTTTATTCCTTAAAAAAGTGAATGAGTTAAATGCTAGATGAGTAAGTTCTAGTCCTTTTAGCTTCTCAGAGAATTTTCTACGATAATTTTTTCCCAAATCAGACTGATAATGGAAAATGTTTCAGTACATTATTCAGCTGTTTCAAGCTATTTTATTTATGAATAAAATAATACAGAGTGCTATTTCAAGCCTTGGTAATTTTCTAGCTGAATAGCTTAAGTGTCCGAGTGCCTGACATCCTTCGGAGACGCTGAACGCTGGTAACATGATAATCGTGCCGTAATGAGATCTCGTGACTGCTCTCCCAGTGACTTCTTGTTGACAGTGGAGAGACTTCAGAGTTTCTGGAATTGCTGCATGATATTAATTTTCTCCATTAATCCCCCCATAAAAGATTTAGATTCAATAAAGTCATCCAATTTCATTCGATAAAACCCCTCAGACTTATAGGCCAGACATGGATAATGAGACTTTGAAAAGTTTGGAATCTGATAGGAGAATCTTCTACAGTGTAAGTAATAAAAGAGGTAACACTATCACTTTGTATGGTTTAAAAACATTTTATGCCACACCATGTATAGAAACAGATAGAATTACTTAAAAAAAAGGTGCTCCACTTGGGTTCTTTGTGAAACGTTAGATAAGGGAACAATATTACAATTTAGCCATTCCCCCAAGGGAATTCATTAAACAATAAGCTGTGGTAAGTTAACAACTAAAAGCTTAGAACAGTTACTAGTTAACAGTTAACTCTTATTTTGTGCACATACTCAAATATTCAAAATATTCTAGATTGTAGCTGCTTGTTAAAAGCAATTCGTTTACAACTTTCGATATTGTACCTTAGTGGGACACTATAGTCACAAAAACAACTTTAGCTTAAAGGACCACTATAGTGCCAGGAAAACATACTCGTTTTCCTGGCACTATAGTGCCATGAGGGTGCCCCCACCCTCAGGGACCCCCTCCCGCCCGGCTCTGGAAGGAGGAAAGGGTTAAAAACTTACCTTTTTCCAGCGCTGGGCGGGGAGCTCTCTGCTTCCTCTCCTCCTCCGTTCCTCCTCCTGGGCTGAATGCGCACGCGCGGCAAGAGCTGCGCGCGCATTCAGCCCGTCGCATAGGAAAGCATTTACAATGCTTTCCTATGGACGCTTGCGTGCTCTCACTGTGAAAATCACAGTGAGGAGCACGCAAGCGCCTCTAGTGGCTGTCAATGAGACAGCCACTAGAGGATAAGGGGGAAGGCTTAACCCATTCATAAACATAGCAGTTTCCCTGAAACTGCTATGTTTATAAAAAAAATGGGTTAACCCTAGAAGGACCTGGCACCCAGACCACTTCATTAAGCTGAAGTGGTCTGGGTGCCTAGAGTGGTCCTTTAATGAAACAGGTTTGGTGGATAGATCATGTTCAGTTCTCTGCCATTTAGGAGTTAAATCACTTTGTTTATGCAGCCCTAGGTACACCTTCCTGCCAGGGCCAGATTAAGAGCCCAGTGGGCCTGGTGCTGACAATTATGATGGGCCTAATTACAGAATCTTATCGACTAATAACACTAAAACACTCCCAAGCGTCATGTATCTGATGGAGATGGTGC